TACCACGACGTCTCAGACTGAACAGTGCGTTCCTGTTAGCAGGGTATTTCCCCCACACTGTCTTGATGTCTTGAGACTGGACACAGAGTGCTCATAGCATTGTGACTTAATAAAAAGATAGCTCCGCCCTAAATCGTGCCTTGCTTTATCCGTCTTTTTGGCTCTAATTGGAATCACGATTTACAAACATAACATAACTTCATATTAAATAAGACTTCAAACTAGCGACTGGGCTCATGAACTCCCTAACAAAGTGTGGACAGCTCAGGTGAACTGTGGAACTTTTTCCTCGTAGATTTCTACACCGTCAGAATTACCTTTGAAATCAGAGGAACGCCCCCTGCTGGCCATTAGAAAAAACTTCTGAATAAGTATCACTTCTAAGGCCCAGAATGTAAACCCTTCACATACAGTTTCAGTGCTCTTGCAGTTTTAAACACACACTGACTGATTTGCAAACTTTTCTGTGGCTAACAGAGAGAGTTCTCATCTTCAGCAGGTGCATTTCATAAGGAGGCTGTCTGGAACGTCTGTTCATTTGTCCATCTGTCTTCCTCTCTGCCTGTCTGTCTGTCTGTGTGCGTTCTGTGTTATCTGAGTGTGAGAACTGAGTGCTGTGCTGTGCAGCCCTGGGGGAGGTGAAGCTGCATTCAGGAACCTCTATGGGTGCCACAAAGCTGCATTCATGCAGCTGAATAGCTGTTTTCTACAACCAGGCACTAGTCATCCCAACTCCATTGGAAGGGCTCTATGAGTTACCACTCTCCCTGCCTTGGTATGCAAAGCATTATGCAGCAAAAACACAAATGGCTGGATTAACAAAGGGCACACAAAGCATACTTACATGGAAACATTGAAGGGATACGTGACTCTGTAGTTTCAAAGGACGGTGTTTTTAGGATTTCTGCGTTCTTCCCTCTATCCGGTGGCAAATAAAGAATTTCCTCTTTCTTTTCCTTTTTTCAGCTCTCAGTCAGTCACAGTTACACTTTTTTTTTCCGCATTTCCGTATTGTTAGTGCACTGAACGGCCGTTATCAGATGTTATCGGTCCCATACTTATTTCCTCCTCTACCCTCTACACGGCAGCCATCACCTCACTCGTGCTGGTGACTCCACACTGCTGAAGAGAGAGAGGACGGCAGTGGAGGCTTGGTCCACTTGACTCTGGATTTCTGGACTGAGCTTTCATTAAAATATTCAATGTAGTTTTTGTAACACTGTTTAGTTTGCGTTAGTACTTGGTAAATATCATCTTTTTCCCAACCCGAGTTGCTTGTTACAAAGCTCCATTTTCTTATTTTACCACATCAGGAAATGTCTCAAGCATTTTTTCACATGGCCACTAGAGGTCTCTGACAATCCGGTCGTTCAGTCTGACGTCACTAGCCGTGTCTGGACCTAAACTCCGCTGCAGGTCCATATATCAAACGATCACTGTGGCATTACTGAGAGTTGAAAAACTGTCTAAAGTCTTTCATCTTTAATAAAATGACAGCGTTCTGCTCTACCAGGTGTAACAATTGAGTTTAACATCCAGGCATCCATGAAAACGGAATTTATGACATTTAACGGAGTTAGAAGTTAGCAGGGAGTTAGCTCGCTAGCTTCTATCTAAATACAATATAGCATGTCCTGACTGCGGGGTTTTGGAAACAGATTCAAACGTACAGCTCTGCTATCACTTCCAGCATAAATGAAGACAGAAAACTAAACAGCAGTGACGTTTGTAGGGTTACTGAAGTTTGGCTAGCTGCTATATAATGATGTGCTACGTGACCGCTAGCGACACAGCTATGTTAGCATAATATAAACAAGCTAACTTTTTTTCCACTCGATAAAAGTTAACGTGAGTGTTCTCGGTGGTCAGGAACAAATGTAATCGCATGGCAGGATGCTGTAAAAGGACCAAACTTCAGCCAGGAGAACAACTGAGATAATCCATCCACAATACGAGGTTAGTCATTCATATACTGCTGCATGGGTTGGGCTGTAGTTACATCCTAAGGTTTTAAAAACTGAGCTTAAATAAATGATTAGCGGTAATAAAAGCCGAGGGAGGTCAACAGTGATCACTGACTGTTTTAGGAGCTTTTTGAGATCAAATAGAAGAAAATACAAAACATTAAACATGTTAACAACACAAAAGCCATATTAAACGCAGACTACTTTAGGCCCGGAAGTAGGATTCGTCACGTCATCACTTAACGACCGGATAGGTGTTAGAGATCTCTTTCTGTTAAAAGGGAGTTCTTCCTCCCCACAGTTGCCATGTTCTGCTCGTGGGGGTCTGATGGATAACTGATAATGACCAATCAGTGTGAGGGTAACATCCAAATCAGGTGACTTTTCCATAACTTTATAGAAAATTTATGACAATTATCATTTTAATAACAAAGTTGTTTTCGTGATGGACTTTTACAGAACTTTAGAGTCCATTTCCTGAATGTCTTTTCTTACGATTCTCCTAAAAGATAACTAAGCTGTCAGATTTACTGTGAACATGTGGGCGGTGACGACTGCACCTGTGCTCCTCTTACAATGTCATTATCGTGTGGATCTCTTTTTCCAGCAGTGTCACCACCCTGCAGAGTGAAATGTGTGGCACTTTAAGCGAACACCTAATGTTCTGTGTGATGGAGTCTTTGAAGGGTGATATTCACGATTGCTTTCCACACTCCTGCACTGTCAGATTATGGTGCCGTTTTCCTTTTATGGAGTCTATCAGCGGGCGATGTGAAGGCTTGTAAGATGTGGCACAATTCTGATTTTGATGCTAAGAGGCTTCTAGCAGAGTAAATCAAACAGCCGCAGCACGCATCCTCAGCTGGAGTCTACTGAAGGTATCGGGAAGCAGGAAAAACACCCACAGCCTCTCATTTAAATTCAGCTAATGTCTCTTTCCAATTAACAGATTGGCAGAGTCATGACTGCCCAAATTGACTTCCTGTCAGCAGAGGCCTCGCTCCCTCACGCTGCAGACATTGTGTGGCATTTCACCGGATTGGTCGCTCGGAAAGATCCTGGCAGCTGTCAGTCGATACCTCTGCCCATCGGGGACAGGAAGTCTGGCATGGTCATGTGAAATACCTATGCTAATTTTCTTGAACTGTCCAAGTTAAGATCACTGAGTACACAGTGTTCCACCTGCATGGGTGGTCTCGGGGCCAATTAGTGAGGAAATGTTTAATCGTTTGAGAGAGAGACAACGAGAGGGGGGGGCATGAAAAACTCAAAATCTCACTAAAGTATACAATAAGCATGAAAATCATCTTCTCAGGGTATTGACACAATGAAAGAATCAAGAAACTGAAAGTTAGTATAACCATCAGAGGAAGAGCTCCTTGAACATGACCTGTACCACAAAGATAGCAGCGCTGAGGGGAAGGTAAAGAACAGCCTTAAAATAAAGCAGGATGGTCCAAGAGGCAGTGCAACCTGAGGCACTGGTACCGGAAATGCTCATGCACCAATCAGATTTGAGCAATCCACATTAGATACAGGCATGCTGCCAGTGCCATTAGAGAGTAAAATAAAGGTTATAATTGGTACTTCTGCAGCCGGGAGCAGTAATTATTATTAAGGAGATTTTATGCTGCATTCATAAATATACGTTGATTAGAGTGTCAATAAAATTCTTATAAAATTAAATTAAGATTTTGTTCCTTGATCAACGTGACATGTAGGACAGAGTAGGCCTGGGAATAGGCAGAGACCGTCCTCCATAACCAATCATTTTATTGTATAAGCAGGCCTGAAAATGACAGTAAAGAGTTCATGGCTGAAGTTTTAGTGACAAGACTGCACACAACAAAAAAAACCTTTAGAGATCCAGCAACATTCGCAACAAACATTTAAAAAGCACCAACACAGCAGGAGCACAAGACCAAGAACAATACTCCACACACACTAAAATATCCTTCCAGGACGTTGATGAGTTTGTGATATTTTCATGAGAACATCAAGATGATGTCACTCAGCGTTTCTCTTTAATGTCATGTGTACTTGTGGCAACATGATTTAACCATATCTCACAATGTTTAGAGTCGTTCCTGGATCCTTGCTGACTCCAGACGTTCGTCACTTCCCAGATAGGGAAAGCCACACCATTGATGCAACTCTATAACTTTTTGGATCACATGATCTCTTTGGTGGAGGTAAGAAAGTCGATTTTGGGTCAGCAGTGTTTTTCCAAACAGGCCTTTAGGTGTGGCTGCTTGAAAGACGTGCAGCAGATAAACGGGAGATAAATGGGGAGCGAGAATAATTGGACTGTGGATCTTTGGCTAACGGGCCCAAAGCACCAGCTCTCATCTGAAAACATTCACCGTCATCGTGCTGCCACAGCACGCTGCGTAATCAATCACTGCTGTCAAGTCTCAGTTACCTGCACTGCCCATTATCACCGCATCCTGTTCCTGTCCTTGCTTCAGTTTCACTTCACCCACTTTCCACATTCACGCACTATAAACCCACAGCAGAAGCGACGACACAGCCCCTCTCTCATCCCGCACCCGTCACACTTACACAGGACTGCTGTAAGGCTCTGATCTGTTCTACCACACCAGAACAGACGACAAGGACCACAGACCAGGCGCGCAGACCGGAGACAGGACTTGACAGAACAGATAAAACAAAACACCATTTCCAGCGTCCAGCGCCTCAGGTGCCGCAGACACATCTCAAAGGGAATACTGTAGACGGTGTGCAGATAAGAACCTGTAGTCTCTGCACAGCTCCTCATGCCCACAGGCGCTTCTTTGGAACAGATTCCAGTGAGATGACCCCTTTCATTTCACAGATTACAGATTTTCACTTTACAACCTGATTTAGACATCGAAGGCGCAGGAGCAGCTGAATGTCTGTAATGCTTTTATACAAAAAAATAAAGTGCGCAAACATTAACTGCGGTTTCTGGAGGTGAGTTTGGCACCATCCTCTGCGTAAAAAACAAAGCCGTGTACCAGGACATCATCAGACAAACATCACTGATTTACTCACCCACTCCAATTTTCTCATCCTCTGTCGGCGTCCACATGATGTCCCGCTGCACCCACAGCAAAATCCTCTAAAGAAAGTAGCTATAATCACCCGATGGGTCGCTTCATGGAAATCCGAGTGACGATGAGAAAGACGAGGAGGACCGCGGAGCAAAAGTTTACTGAAAATGGCTACGGGGGGAAAAAAACCTTAAACCAGTCTGAAAATGTGAAAGTTGTCTTAAATAAATGACGGTTAGTATCCTGTCAGGTTGGCGGTGACGCATGGCGCAGTGTGTCGGTCCATCTCAGCGGCTGTGCTGCGCTCCTCGGGAACGAACCGCCAGAGAAATCCTCCACAGGGGCGTCAAGGCGATTTCAAGCCAAACAGGGGGCTTTTAACCCCACCTGTGGGCATTAGAGTGGCATTTGGTTCAGCAAAAAGGCGGCCGGAGCAGATGAACTATGATTTATGAGGATTTCATTAGAGCGCGAGACTTTCCCATTCAGGAAAATCCCACGATCACTCGTGTTTCCCGTCAAGTTCTGTCCGGGCTCGGGAATCCTGTCCTCACTCAGTGAGCATCCCTCCAGAGCGAAGCTTCTGGTGCTCTTGTGTCTTTGAACCATGCGTCTGAACCTCGCTTCCTTCCGTCGCAGCTGCTGAACTTGTCGTGAGCAGATGAAGAAAAAGCTCAGTCCCGTCTGCGTGCGAGCCGTGCGCAGCAGCGGGGAAGCCTCCGTCAGTTTAAGAGGATCAGGGTGGAGGAGCGCGGCTGAGGTGGTCAGGGGGGGGGGCTCGTTTGGTCTGCACAGCCTGCACGCGCACAGGAGCCTACAGCAGCTGACCCCTCAGACCACGAGTGGGAATAAAAGACGCAAATATATATAATATATAAACTCACTTAGAATTACTCTGAGCATGTGCAGTATCGCGCACGCGCACACACGCCGGCCGTGACATCACTTTACAGCACCGTGACACAGCCTCGGTCGTGCTGTCACTGACACGCGTGTACAGCCGCTAATGACAGCCGTCTGCAGCTCAGCAGCTCAGCAGCTCCACGCGCGTTTGTTGCGCGTGCTGCGCCCCCGCGTGGACACTTCAGAGCAGCACGCGCTGTGACAGCTGTGTCACAAATATGGTGATATGACAGCTCCAGGAAACCTTAAAGCATTTTAGTTTTCCTTTTCTTATGAGCAGATTTTCACAATAAATATTTATATTTTTTATTTGTCTTCATCATAGTCAACGACCCATCTACGGGGGGGGGGGGGGGGTAATACAGTACACTGCTCGTAACAATCAGAGGTGGCCAAAGTACAGATATTCTGTACTTGAAAAGAAGTACTAGTGTTGAAAAATACTACAGTCAAAGTTGAAGTACTGATTCAACTTCGCCTCTGAAAAGTACTCAAAGTAAGAAAGTAAAAGTAGTTCTGTGGAGGACGTTACTACCAGCTATTTTTATGCAGAGCTAACTGAGCCTTGTGCTTCATTACTCTAATAATTAAATAATACAAACTTTACTTCAGTTTAAACTTTAATTCTAATAAATATTCTCATCTTGAATCTCATGAGCAGAGAATGTAGAGGGTGACTTTGCCTCTGAACAGGAAAATGTGAGCAGTCAGGGGCTAACGTGGATGCAGCCGGTGGGGGGGACACTAAACTGGTTGTAATGGCTCAGTGTGGGGAAAACAATCATAACTCACAATAACTTCGACTGAGAGCTCCAGTAGATGTTCTTAGTGTACAGGCTGTGATCAGCTGACCTGCTGCTTTTGTGGGTGTACACGCCTGAATTCAGCCAGATGTGAGCAGATGTTTTATGAGTTGTCCTGGCTGATGCCCATCCTCTGCACTGACAGTACACTGTTGATGCTGTCTTTACATTAGACACTATAAAGTTGGTATGAAGGTGAGATTCAGTGAATGAATATCAGCATCATCAGCTAACATTCATATGAATCTCTGCTATAAGCTGTGAACTCTTTACTGCAAATCCATCACAGTGCAGCAAACTAAGCTGTTTATCCTGCAGATTCTCAGGCAGCCTTTAAAAAACTGCCTCAGTTTGATTTACAGCAGGTTTCACAGTCACATGTCACATGCACAGATTTAAAAACATGGGGACTTACATATGAGCTTTAAATGAGCAGCCCTTGCCTTTAAATCTAAGCTCTCTTCTTCCTCTCCTGTCTTTCTTATCTTTCTCCATGTCTGAGTGAACTTAGCTCTCGGTCTTTTCTCTCCCGGTGAAATAAGCAGCTGGACTTTTAGCTGCAACACACTGTGAGACAAACACACAAACAGTTTGTGTGTTTGCTGATGTTTGTTGAAATTCTGCATTTCAAATGACCTCTCTACCACAGCGTGTCTTTTGTCTTCCTCCCCTCACCGCCCCTCCCTGAGCCGGAGGTTTCTTCCTGTTAAAAGGGAGTTTTTCCTTCCCGCTGTTGCCAAAGTGCTTGCTCATAGGGGGTCATATGATTGTTGGGCTTTTCTCTGTGTGTATTATTCTAGGGTCGACCTTACAATATAAAGCACCTTGAGGCGACTGTTGTTGTGATAATCGACTTCCAAATAAAATCGAATTGAATAGAGCACATGATTAGAAAAAAATTAGTCAAATATTATGATTTCAATAAATATCTTTATGTCTTGGTGTATCTTACAGATATAATGCAGTCTGAAGCTCACAGAGAACAAGCTGGACCTGCCAGTATTAACCAACACCTTCAGGTTTCCAAATTGGGGGATTCTGCATTAAATTTAGGCTAATTTTTGTAAACTTGGTGGCTAAAAGGAGGTGATAATTTAAATGACCAGAGGACAGAGTGACTGATGACGTCCACTAAAGCACTCAGAAGCTGCACTGGGAATCAGGTAATTTGCAGTACACACAAGTTGCAGCCCAACTAAACCCAGCGCATCCATGGCAACATTATTTCTGTTTGCTGCCACACTCTACACCTGTGGACGAGAATGGGATGCAAAAAATATTTAAAATGAAGATTTAATTTCCACGTGTGGACTCCAGCGAGACGAACCCATTAGCTTAATGTGTCCTCATAAGGCAGGGTCAGCTCGCTGCCGGGAAAAAAGGAGGAAGAGACAGGAGGAACAAATGAAACCGAGAAGAGGAGGAAACAGGACAGAGAGGAGACTGACAGCGAGCGACGTTTCCCACGAATAAGAACTCACTTCAACACGCTGCTGTCCACAGAGACCTGAAAGTAACACAGCCGAGGAGAAACGCTCGTCTGGACTCACGGCTCAGCAGAAACCACAGCATCTCTCCCTCATCAACAGGTGATTGTTTAGCATCACTCGAACTTGGAAAATCTTTTTTTAAAAGTCTCGCTGCATGTTCAAACAAAGAAAGATTCATTTAAAAGATTAGTCATGTGATTTGAAAGTAAAGAGCGTGGTGGGCGTGTACTCTGTGCGTCTGCAGCCAGCAGGCTTTATTTCATGTGCCCGACCACGTCTGGATTCCTAACTCGTCCACTCCTGAACACCGAGCAGAAAGCGCGCTCTGGTTTGTGCCTGAAACAGCTGCTGTGACTCGATTTATGACCTGCTGCTGTGGTTGGCAGAGAACAGTGAAAAAGTGCCTACAGATGTTTCTGCTGCCCTTTAACTACTGAAGTATCTCAAGATCTATGAAAGTAAGACTAGAGGAAGTTATTATCTAAATTATACTCTAATGAACTGTGTGAGGTCTACATGATCCTCACCTGTAAGCTGTCAGGAAAGTGATGTTTTCAATAGACTCGCATCAGCAATCCTTCTGTTCCCTCCAAAGGTTGGGCTCATCATCCACATCAGCAATGACTTAAACCTCACCGGGATTCACCTCCAACGCTTCAACCACCTTTAGAGATCATTTGTGTGGGAATTAAATCCTCTGAGGTGCTTTCCTCCAACCATCATACAGATTCAACTTCAACCACAGCACCCTGAAGTTGGCTGGTCAGCTGTGGTGGCCGCTCTCGCCTCAGCTTCCAGCAATTGTCCTTCTCTTTGACCCAGAGCCATCGGGAGGCTCTTACCCCGAATCTTCAGGCCTCTGTTTTCCCCTCCCGGCTTCTCACTGCTCCGCTCTTCAGTGAGATCCAGACTTAAAGGACTAGGAATCCTGGACACCCTCTTTAAACCAGGCTTTTCCTGCTGGTCCAGTACAAGCTGCTGGTCGTTGCTCCTGTCTGTCTCTGCTGCTTCCTCGGTCCTCCAACTCTGCAGTTAGTTTTTACCAGGACAATCAAACTGAACCCTGACACACGAAGTGCCTTTCAGTACTGCTCAGCACACAGTCCTGTGAGAACAGAAGCCCCGCCCACCTGCTGTTCAACCCATCGGTTTGACAGGAGCAGCCAATAAGAAGAAGGCTCCATCCAGTTAAAAACATCCAGTCTTTAAATCTGTAGAAAACAACCTCAACACTTTGTGTATATAAAATAATTTTTTCTTTTTCTTTTACGTCAATAACTGCTTTTATATGAATATTAAGCTCAAATAAAATGTAAAGACTGCTCACTGCTTCAGAGTTGAAAGGACTTGAAAAACTACAGCTTGTGTTTCTGTCTCGTTTTGTAGCTCAGAAAAAATTGGTGCTGATCAATAATGAGGAGAAAAAGATGTTTCACAGCAGGTAAAAATACCAAAAAGAATCCAAAATTTCAAACTCAATATTTAACCAAGAGGAAGAAAACCAAGTCTGCATATCTGAGGCCCCACAAACTCTGGGAAATATTTATTCGTCATCTCTCAATGACGTCATCAAATTTAAAAAATATATATTAGAGAAACAGAATATTGCAGAAATTTGATTTGCATACGAGCGTGTTCACAGTCAACCTGCCCGCTTAAAAGAGAAACGAGCATTTAAACAGGTACGAATGAGAACGCTGAGGTCAGGAGAACAATCGGTCATGGAGGTCACGGATGGACTGGATCAAGTCGTCATCGGACGCTCCAGAGAGATCTGCAACACACGCACACACACACACACACACGCACACGCACGCACGC